TACATTAATTGTTTAAGTTTTTATATAAATTTCGCTTTATGTGTATATATCTGTTCTTTTTAAACTTTAAACTGTTATTCTAATAACAATACTATATAATTTTTTTTAATTAGTTATATGATAGTACAAATGTAAGTTTTGTTAAAAAATTATAAAAAGTAAAATCAATAAATCCTTTATTAAATATATTAGTTTAATTCTCTACGCTTATATTTTTTATCAATACCATCAATGATGTCTTTTAAAGGAGAAATGAACCAATCAATATCAGTAGATAAATAAGTAACAGACTTAAAAAGCAAAAGAAAATTCTTTTTTTCTATTTTCAAAAATTCGGCAGATGTCTCTAATCTTTCAATCAGCATTTTTATAATTACAAGAATATATTTAAGTTCTACAGCTCGTGAAATATTTGTGAATCTTTGTATAATATCTTTACATTCATTATAAATAAGATTAATATTGCACTCATAAAAATGAACAGACAAATTAAATATACTGAAATACCCTACCACTTCTTTTATAAATATGACACATTCTACTATTAATTCTTTTATTGATTCACATGAAGATTCTTTGATGAAGGAACTTTCTTCTATATTTTTTATTTGGATTTGAATATTTTTAATAAAATAATGTCTTCTACAACGATAAACATTCTTAAGACCCATAAACTTACATATAATTTTTTTGTTTTTATTTTTAAACAAGAAAATTTCTTTAAAAATTAAAATTGGCTCTTTTTTAACCTTGTCAAATGCAGATTTAAAATGATTTAGAACATCTTTACAAAAATCAATAAATAAATCAAAATTTGTCAACTGTTGATTATTAGATTCTACCATTTCCTTCTGTGTTATAGAATTCCAGTTTAAATTTCTTCTAGAAATTATATATATATTAAATTTTTCAATATAAGCATCATAAAAATTATTCAATAAGACTCTTTTATCTTTATGTATTATAATCTCTTTACGTTTTCTCTCATTATTTTTTTTTTCTTTTTTATCACCTATCGTCTTATTAGAATTTAATACCGCATCACATTGTTTCTGAAATTCAAAACAATTGGATGCACTGCTATTGTATATACTTGCATTATTTTGAAAATTTTCCTGCCAATGCCTCGAGTTTTCAGAAGTTATGCATTTATTATTATTGTCCATTTTAAGTTTTTTCAAAACAGGATTTTCAAAAGCTTCATTATTTGTAACGTTTTTATCATCTTTAAAATACTGAAAATTCGTTGTATCAAAAGTGTGATTATTCAAATCAGAGCTTTGTATATTTTTATATCGTAATTCTTCTTCTAAATCCAAAACACTTTCAATAATATTTGTTAGCTCAAGGTTTTCTTGTTCCAGAAACCGCTTTGTGTTATTGTTGCTGTTTGGAATTTGATTGTATTGATTTTTATTTTTTGTGTTATATAAATTATTCATATTACTTATGACAAATTCTGTCGTATTGATTGATTCAAAACTTGTTGAAGTATATATTCCTGTAAAAAGATAGAAGAATTTAAACATTTTATGGGGTAAATTTT